CCCTGTGGAATCGATCCCTAAGTACTACAAACGATCAACTATGCACTTGCGGCTATTGATTTCATTTAGGGTAAAACTTGACATCCTTACCACACGACAGCATCACACTTGTTGTCTGAAAAGTCGCAGAAGATGCTAACAAAACAAGACAAGGCCACGAGAAAAGTGGACGGTGTCAGGTGGAGCAAGAAGAACTCAGAGATAGAGAAAATAGAAGGCGACAGTGGGCGAGCTGGTGGACACTAGAAATGCTTTAGGCATAACATCCTCAGGGTCCGCCGTAAGGGTGACCTTGATGATTGGCCAGAAGTGGATCGAACGAGTTCTGGTAGACCAAACGAGCCCCATCGACCTCATCTCCCAGAAAACTTTAGGGAAGATCAGAAGGGAGTGGAGAACGTTCCCAGGAATCAGGACGGGTTCAAACAGCACGAGGAGAGAGCCTTTAGGGGCGACAGGGGAAATAACGCTCCCTGTACGTGTAAATGAAGTAACAAAGTTGGTCACCTTTTGGGTGGTTGGTGGTTCAGCTAAGTACACAGCACGGCTAGGGCAACCTTGGATCCACAAGATTATGGCTTCAAAATCGGAGTCGCAGCGATAGATCGAGTTCCCTGATGAGTGAGAGGAGAGAAGGTTCCTAGAGCAAGCCAGTCCGGGTCCAAGTGAATAAGGAGAAGAAGAAGAAGAAAGAGAAACCTGCAGAAGGCAAAGGTGGGCTCTCACAAAAAAGGAAACCACGATTGAGATGTGGATCCGGTAGGCAAAGGCAAAAAGGCGGAACTAACCAAAAGTAAAACGCAACCGTGGAACGAGAACATCATAAATTCAAGGTGCTTGAACAGTACGACACATAGCAAAAGAACAATATACATGCAAGAATGGGCAACAATAAGCAATGTAGGTACAAGAAAATAGAAGTACGAAAGACAGTCCAGTTTTGCTCGGGCTCTCGGCCTTACGGACCGCTATCCCTTGGATTCGAGGATTCGAGAATCACCGTGGTGAACCGCAGCACTCAACCCAGTTTGCACGTACCGGAATGAGCAAGGGACACTCTCAGATGGCCTCGCTGGTCATACACAAAGGCCTGGAGGCACACAAGCCTCGCCCCCAAAGCCTCCAAAGCTAATGCTAAGCGAATAGGAGCAAGAGAGGTCTCCACGGAAGTTTGGAAGGCAGAAACAAAGAAGGGAGTCACAAACAGAAGCAAGAAGACCCTAAAAATATAACTAAGATAAAGGAAGCTAACCTAGGAGGAGCCAATCAGGTCAGACGACGTCGAACAATGAGCTATGGAGAAGTTTGATAACCGGAACCAGGTGTAGTCAACCGGGAACAAGTTGAAACGCTCCCAAATGACGGATAACATATCTGACTTGTCTGCTAAATCAGAAACAGACTGAGATTTTCTAAAAAGGAAAGATGTACGAAAACAAGATGGGGAGAGAGGAGTACAGGACATGAAGAAATCACCAAAAGGAATGAAGGAGGCACTCATCGTAGCCCTGATGGAGGTTCTCCCAACCACCGAAGGGTGAAGCAGAAAGAGGGGATTTCAGAGGAAGGCTGGAATCCGACAGAGAGAGTTCGGAAAGAGAGGATATGAAGGCTTAGCCACCAGATCTGACCTTGAAAAAGTTCCCTATCGGCTGTATCACCGTCAAGTACTCCTCTCCAGCTATCCTGAAAGAAATTAGTTACGTTATTTGGGGTGTTTACCCCGACGAGACCAGCACAATGGTGGGTTAGTCTGCCTGTTGATGTCGTGTCCCCAGAATGATATCCCTTAATCGGACCACCCAAAGCCATGCCACTCTACGAACAGTCTAACTATCCACTATCCACCCAACTAGTTCCCTTTGCGGATTGGCTGCCAGTTTTAGTATGCTTCGTGGTGGACGGCTCTCCTTTAGAGAATCTGATATCTCTAAGGGATCGACCACAAAGTATTACTAGGCTAGCAGGGCGGCACCTCCTTTGGGACCTAATAGACGGTCAGGCATTGTGTCCTTCATATTTTTGAGCCCACGGCTCCAGGTTACTTTGCCCACAGCGGGTGACTCAAGCATCAGGTCCTTCGTGGCTCACTGTCTTAGGTCATTTCACTCACAGTGTTTAACTCAGGCAACACATCCTTCATTTCGAGCTCACAGCCCCAGGTTATGATGTCCACGGCGGATGACTCAGACATTGTGCCCTTCATCAGGTCAAAGGGTGACTCAGGCAACAAGTCCTCCATCAAAAAAGCGTTATGCGCTTCAGACAGGATGTCCAGTCAGGTACGGTTATTGAGGTGGGGGGGGGGGAAAGGGTTTATTCCCAGCAAGGATAATTTCCAGTTCACAAAGTGGGGGGCGGGCAATTATTGGGGATAAGTTCGATCCTTCCTACATGGACGAATCACGTGCTTGCACGTGGCGCCCATAGTTTATTGCTGATACGCCCCCTGGGCCAAATTAGGATATGTATTGGACTTACGGCATTATACGACCTAAGCATATAGCACCGAGCCCGGGAGATTCGGCACGAAAGACACCTGTTCATGGGTTACTCGTATCTGACAGTGCAGACCACTCTGTCAGAAATAAGGAGGCCGAGAACTGAGTGATCAAGAGGAAGCGAGCATTTTCTATGTTCTAGGCCCAAGCTCAGTGATTTGGAAAGATCGGATATAAGAAAGTGTAATCTTCACAGGTACCCAGTGAAAGGAGTTAGCTAGCGAGACAATCCTGACAGTCCGATCCTAATATCAAGGAATCCGAGCCAAGTTTGAATAATCTTTTATGCGGGAAACAATGTTCCAATTTTCCTCCATTCGACAATTGGGATATGCCTTAGTCTGATTTGATTGCCTATACTCTTACACACCCACGAGATTGATATTTAATGCACCATTCTTACACGTGTTAGGTGATAGTGACCATTCACAAAAAGCAGAGGAAAATCAGAAGCTTAGCAAAGGTCATACCACGTCTGAACCGCCGAGTCCAACCCGTACGTTGAGGGTGAAAGAGACGCGCCAAGGAGCGGTCTCACAGCAAGCAGAACACACCAAAAAAAACTGGTGAGACTATCAGAGGCCTGACACAAGCACAAGATTAGGATCCATCCAAGTCGGATCACAAATCGACTCATCCGACTCGCGACCCAAGGACCGATCCAATATACTAACCCGTATGATGTAAAACTCTATAAATACTTTGTCCCTTCCAACGAAAAAAGGGATTCAATCTTTCTACTATCTTAAGACGTATGCTATCTCTCTAGATACTCGTGATATTTAAGCCATAACACTTTACATTACCGGTCGTAATTCCGACCATATATTTACTTTCTCTCCATGGCGGTTCCTAAACCATTGAACATTTCCACCCACAAGCAATTACACTTCTTCTCTTTTCATTCTAAAAAATCAATCACCATTCAAAGGCCTGAGTAGACTCCACCTTTCTCAAGATCTCTCGGCCATTTTCCTTCACCCGTTTTCTGATTTATTTCCTCTCTCTGATCGATTTTCCAATTTGTGGTCTTTTCTTAATTGTTTTCTGACTTGAACGTCGGAGAGTCATCGGAAAACACTCTGCCATCGTGTTTTCTGAGAACTTCACGTGTTAATTGAGTTTTGCAAAAGACTTGCCCAAAAAAATAAATCCCCTAAACAATAAATATCTTATAACACAGTAATAAAATAGAGCGAATTACGATTATATTTTTATAATTGCATTTTTATGTGTGCTAATTTATCAAAAACATACAAAATATTAAACTGATTGAGGTAATTAAATGGATGGGTTAGTGTATTATATATATATATTGGTTTTAAAATTAATATGACATATAAGAACTTAAGTAACTCATAAACTATAGTATTATTTTACTAACATATAAATTTATACAATTAAAACATGATATGTTTAAAAAAAATATAAATTACATTATAAAATTTGATTAAAACAAAAATTTCTGTCTGTTATGTTTAGAGTTTAGTAAATAAAATAAAATATGTCATGTGGATATCTATATACTATTAAAAAAAAATTACTATTTGTGTCCAAACAGATTTTTTTAGTTTTCTACTATTATGTTTTTGGATAACTACTTTTTTTTTGCAAAACAAAAATTTTAATTTAATTTTAATTTTATTTATTTCTGAAAATTAATAAAATAGTATATTTAAATTTGATTTTTAAAATTAATTCTGAAAATATATAAATTTTAATTCAATTAGTATAATTTTTTTTGGATATAGTTAAAATTAATTATCAAAATTACAAAAATTTATTACTATTATTTTTATAAAATATTAATTTATTTTTAATTAATAAATAAGATATTAATTTATTTTATATTTAAATATCCAAATTTTAAATAATATTTTTGTAATAATAATGGAAAAATATATTATTATATTTTTTATAATCGATTATTTTAAAATTTTAAAAATTTAAAATTTAAAATTATATTAAATAATATGAACTGATAAGATAAATTATATTTTTTTTATTTATATTTTTTTTTGATTAATCGAATAAACGGGTTAAAATTATATTTTAATAACTAGAGTTAAATTAAAAAAATATTATAATAGAAATTTTATTTAAATACAAAAATAAATTTATATTATTATTAAAAAATATAATATTTATAAAAACATAAATTTTATTATAAAATAAAATTAAAAACAAATTTCTCGTACATGACAGAATCTAATTAATGTAATAAAAAAATGAAAATAATTAATTTTTATATATAATAATAAAATTAAGATTTAAAAAATTTGTTGGCCGAGAAAAAAGATTTAAGAGTTTTTTGTCAAAAAATTAAAATTACGAAGATTCCGTTAGGATCAAACTGTTATTTTTGTTTCAATTTCCCTTCTTTTTTTTTGTAAAAAAGGTCATTGATACGTGATTGAACCGGATTATTTTCGGTTAATTTGCTGGCGTGGCGTTAAGTTTGGAAAACTAAGCGCTTACTAAAAAAAAGGTGGAAACATAAATACGACTCGCAAAATTCTCTAGGGTTTTGCTGTTTCCTCTTCTTACTCTTCTTTTTGTGTTCTCTCTTGAAAGTTTCCGCCGCCGATATAGCAGACAGCCATGGCTAGTACCATTTCTCCTTCGGATCGTATCCTTCTTTACTTTTTACGCCGATTCGTAGCTTCCCTGTTGTAATTTTGTTTTGAATTTACCGGAATATTCATTTTGTGTTGAAGCTTCAGGGTTTTGCTAGGGTTTACCTTAATAAAGATGTCTTCATTTTGTTCGAAAAGAATCGAAAAAAATCAGTTTATCTCTTGTTGATTCTCGGTAGATCTCACGTATGGCTCAGTTTATTTTTCCGATTATGAAAATGAAAAATTCGTGGGTTTAGAACTTCTTTGCTTTCTCTCAAAAACACATGAAATTTTCCGCTTGTTGTATTTCTGAAAATCTCTTGTTGAGCTTTAGAAAGATCTGATGTTTTGATGGTTGAAACCTCTGCGGTCATGAATTAAAAGATTTGTTGTTCCTTCATTGTTTATCATTTAGAAGCTGCAGATTTGCTGCAAAATCTGAACCTTGATCCAGAAACCATGGCTCAAGTCCCTGATACTGGGAATAAGGTATAACCCATTTGACCCATGTTGTTATTTTTCTCTATTGGATTCTTCATGTGACTTGTTTATCAAATGGTTTGTGTATTTCATTTTGGCAGGATGCGTATGGCGGAAACAGTAATGGGTTCTTACATCCCTCGGTAGAAGCAACCAAGAGTGGGAAACCAAATCTTTTAGCTAATGGTAGGGCTATAGCTACTGTCAATAAAGGATTGAACCAGAAGAAACTTGGTTACCAGAACTCTGCTGCTTATTATCAAAAGGGTTCATATGCAAGAGGTACCTACCCTACTGGCTATTACCCTCCAGCGTACCAGTACCCGAGGTATGGCTACGAGATGAATTACGCGTCTGGGAAGACCAACAGTCTTCACTATCCTTACCTGGTATGTTCTAAGTTTCAGTCTTCAGCTTGGCCTTCAATAACTTTTCGTATTGAGTTTATCTTGGTTCGTGATTTGTGGAATTTCATATTATTCGCAGAGTACTCATCAGGGACGATCAGCATACATGGACAGCATGTACTCCTCGATGTATGGACCTTACATGAGTGGCCTAGGAGGCTATGGATATGATTCGTATGGTTATGGAACTTACAAGCAAACTCCGAACTGGTATGCATTCAACAATGGCTACAAGACAAGGAATTATGGATATCATGGATATGGCAAAGAGAACGTTGAGGGGTTGAACGAGTTGAATAGAGGGCCAAGAGCCAAGGGTTTCAAGATTGGCCAAGAAGGTTCGCAGCCAGAGACTCTTAAAGAGCAGAACGCACTGGAGACCGAGAAGACAAAGGAAGATGTTTCTCTTCCAGATTCGAAGGAGTACAACAAGGAAGAATTTCCTGCGACCTACTCACATGCCAAGCTCTTTGTAATCAAATCTTACAGTGAAGACGATGTTCACAAAAGCATCAAATACAGTGTGTGGTCCAGCACCCCCAATGGCAACAAGAAGCTTAATGCTGCTTATAATGAAGCTAAAGAAAAGTCAGATGAGTCCTGCCCTGTTTTTTTACTCTTCTCTGTAAGTGAATGGCTAAAAATATTTTATCGAATTCTGATTGCTTTGTTCCGATCTGATCAAAGAATTCTTTATGTGGTTTTGCATTTTTACAGGTAAACACTAGTGGGCAATTTGTTGGTTTAGCTGAGATGGTAGGCCCAGTCGATTTTAACCAGACTTTTGAATACTGGCAGCAAGACAAGTGGATCGGTTGCTTTCCTGTTAAGTGGCACATTGTTAAAGATATCCCAAATAGTTCCTTGAGGCATATAACTCTGGAGAACAATGAGAACAAGCCAGTTACGAATAGCCGAGACACACAGGAGGTAAGTCTAGTTCTATTTTTTCACCTTTTCTACGTCTCAAGATGAACGTTTGAAAACAATAAAAATGGGGTTTGGATTATTAAATCTGCAGGTAAACCTTGACCAAGGCATCAAAGTCATCAAGATTTTTAAGCAACATGTGAGCAAAACATGCATACTTGACGATTTTGTTTTCTATGAGAGTCGTGAAAAGATAATCCAAGAGGGGAAAAAGAAGCACCAGCAATTTAAAAAACAGGTAAAATCCCTTTGTTGTTGCTTGTTTTCTCTAAATGTTATCTGAATTCTAACAGATGGAGAGATTGTTGTTATGTTTTCAGCAAGCTTTGGCTGCCAATGACAAAAAGGTGACACCAAAAGATGAACCTGAGGAAACCAAAGAGAAAACTACATCACCAGAAGTAGCTAACGAAGTGATTGAAGGAATAACACAGAACAGTGTTGGTGAAGTTGCTAGTGCTTGTTGAACTTATTATCCTTTTTTCGCCACCAAATTTGCTCCTTTCTTAGAGTGTGAGTTTGGGCCAGTTTGGTTTATCTTTTTTATGACGTAGAGGAAGGGAGAGATGATACGAGTAAAAACCCTAAGCAATATCCGTTTTTGTTGTTGGTTGTTGAAGTAGAAGATAAATGAGAAAGTTTATGGTTTTTTCTTTTCAAGTGCTCCTTTATGCAACTTTTTTCCTACTGTGTATGAGAACGTTGAATCTTAACGTTCTTACCAGTGTGTTCTTACTAAATCTAAACAAACGAGGATCTATACTATTCCACAACAGCTTAGCAAACACAATCATAATCATAAATGGATAAAACAGTTCAAATTCGTTACCTTAATTGCATCCAAGAGTAAAATGTGCGAAGGAAAAGAACAAGTACATGGTAACTATCAACCAAAGGATGCAAATTGAAAGTTCTTAAATGTGAAAGACAGACATGCCTTAAGATTCTTGTTCTGATCTCATTTATTATCAGTACTACTCTCAAGTTCCTTCCTTAACTGACGCGAGAAGTCGTCGTTGACATCATCATCATCCCAGTCATCCTCCCATTGCTGACCAACTTCCTTCACTTCCTCTTTCTCCACCCAATCTGCCAAATATAAAATAAAATAAAAAATCCTTAGATACCGGAAAACAAACATTCCACATCAGACTTGCAAAGCAGAATCTGTTAATGAGCAGAAAATCAAAACCAAAGAAATCTGAAGATCCCTACCATATCAAAACTATCACCAACTCATTGCAAAAGAAATCCGATAACCAAATAGATACATTCAACACCAGAACTATCCAACACATACAACAAGAGACTATGTTTATCAATTCTTCCAATACAAGATAAGTTGAATCTGAAGCTTGTAAAGAGGAATCTGTTAAGATTAAGAATCAGAGTCTCTCTTTCTATTTCTCAATGGAACAACATACAACTATTCAGCTCAGTCCAAAAGATATCAAGAAACCAAATAGATCCACTACACATTAAAACTATCCAACTAAAACAACAAGAGACTATCTTTATCAATACTTCCAAAATACGTTATAAGAATCAGATTCTCTCTTTTATTTCACAGGAATGAGATACGGCGTAGAACCAAAACCACAAAAATCTGAAGATCCATTCCGCATTACAACTACTCAACTCAGTCAAAAAAAAAAAAACAAATAGATCCACTCCACATCAGAACCACCCAACTCATACAACAAGAATCTATCTTTATCAATTCTTCCAATACAATATTCAAGACTCAACTTGCTTGTAAAGATGAATCTGTTAAGATAAGAATTAGATTCTCTCTTTTATTTTTCAAATGAGTGAGATACGATGTAGAACCAAACCAGAAAAATCTGAAGATCCATACCACATTACAACTACCCAACTCATACAACAGAGACTAACTATATCAATTCTTCCAATACAGCTATAAGTTATAAATCTAAAGACTCATCTTAACTAGCAAAGCGGAATCTGATCCTCTCTTTCATTTAATCATATAAAATTTATGATGAATCAATAAAATCAAACAAGCAATCGATTTTTTTTTCACCTTCGTTGATCTCAAATTCCTCGAACTCATCGTCGTCCTCGAACAGATCCATCTTTACTTCCTCAGTCGTCGCCTTTGGTTCTACCGCCATAGTTACAGATTGTTTAAGCAACCAACAAGATCGAGAAATCTGGGAAAGATTATCACGTAAATCAATAAGCTTTTTCAAAAATAAAATTGACGACGTAGGAAGGAGAATCTCAAAGTTTCCTCGTGTAAGAGATTGAAAAGCATGGAACCCTAACCTCTCTGAGAGCTTTAACGAAACCTGTAAACTGTAATAGAAGACGCCCAAATAATAAACCTGTAAATGTTAAACGAAACTGGTACAAACCGACTATTATTATTGTTCTAGGGAATTCAAAATGGACCGACATTCGTGGACCAGGTCCATCATTGGTGGGTTTGGGCTAATCTGTAAATTGTAATAATGAATAGCTGGTGAATACTCATTTTATTCTTGACCTATATGCAATCAGTTGATTAATTCCCCAACTATCACTTGCTCAAAAAAATTCTCCATATTTATGTTGACTTCTCAAATTTGGGTTTAATGAAGTCAATAGTTAATTACCAAATCGACACCATGAAAAAATAATTAAACCATCACTGGAGTTATATGCTCTTCACCGGAAATTATCGCATAAGTTTTTCCCCAAATCTCGAGCACACGATCAAAAAGTTTGCAGAAGTGATTTCCGACCGCAATCCAGAATTCTGACATCAATCTCATGAAGACCATCAAAAAGAACCAAAATCATTGTCTACAATCGGACAGTTACATTTCCGCTCTGAAGGCTACTCTGAATTCACACCCTAATTGTATAATTGATACTTTCTGTTTAGTAATTCTTCTATAGTTTTTAGATTTGACTGATGGTGGATGAAAACCGTGTGCCTGTAGGAAGAGATAGGTTTTAAAGTTAGAAAGGAATTTGGAAATTCCTCTAACAATGTGTTCATCAATGAAAAAGGGGATTTCCGACAAAATGTGTATGTGGAAGTGATGTAACCATTTACGCATCACAATCAAAACCTTATCCCGGCCGTCCTTACTTTCATTGTAGTCTTTCACAAAAGAAAAACTATTAAACTTTATTCCACATTATTTGATTAATCAAATTTCATTAGATTCTTGATGAGTGGAAACAAGTTTGTAATGCTACACAATTGATTATCATTTGCTCAGGATGGACATCTCTTTAAGTGGGTGGAAGATGGGATGTATGAAAAAGTGAATGATAACAACTGATTTTGATCATTTTTATGGATCACTTTCAATATCTTATGCAGGTGTTTTCAATCAGTTTTAAAGGTTTTTAAGTGATTCCATGTTTTAGAATTTCAAAAAAGTTTTCAGGATATTTTGACAAAAGGAATACATTTGAAAGCAAAAAGCACAACTTTGGATAAATTGGGACCGTCGGAAGTTTGGAAACAAATGGAAGCCTCCCACCGTCTGATCATCCCCATACTTGGATAAGAGGTAGAGGAGACAAACAGCTTTCCAATGCAAGTGGAATCAAAGCAATCCAACGGTTAGATCTCCAGATATAGTTGATGCAGTGGAGGCGAATCAACACAGTCAGAAGCTCACCCGCAGCCAAAACATCATCCACCGGGGGTGCGAAATTTTAGCGGGGAGCTTATTTCCGAGCCTCAGAAACCCATTTTAATGCCCAAGTCATTCCCGTCATTATTCCTGCAAGCCCTAAGCATTCCCGAGTACTCAATACACTATATAAACCCCTTTTAAGTCATTTAGAAGGGTGTGCCACATTTTGCCAAGAAACTCTAGAGAGAGACTCACCGTGAAGAGGACCCACCAAGAGAGGCACGATCGGCCCTCCTTCTTCAATCTGTTCTTCGTTTCTAACCTTTGTCTATTTCAATTCTCTGCAATTCTAAGTACTTTTGTGATGTTAAACTCAGCTATGTCTGAGTAATTTCCCAGTTGGGGTTTTAAGGGATTTTTCAAAAATAATTTCATGTCTTGATAATATGCTTTGTTCAATTTAGGGTTTATAATCTTCTAGAAGTCTTTCGTTCATTTTTGTTCCATATGCTGTTTCTGTTGCTAACCGCTTAGAAATTGATCTCAGTAGTTGGAGCCACGAGAGTGTTGTATCGAATTACCAGACCTAGAAGTGATCGAGCAAAATCGCTATAGGAGACAAAAGCTACCTATAGAGAATCGCGAGCGTAGACAAATTCTGTTTTTAATGTATGATCTTATTCTTGGCATGAGAGCGAGAGTTAGTGATTCGTTGATTAGGGTGGCGAGAGTTGGCTAATCATACATGCGCCTATTCGAGTTCGGGATCCTCACTAGATGATTACCTTTATCAATTGGTTTGACTTTTGATCAGTTCATGAACCCCTGCGGAAACCTTTTAGACTCAGCGCTTAGTTCTCATTTCTGTACAACCTTTTCATTTCATTTGCATTTAGATTTAGTGATACCAAAACCAAAAAACCCCCATTTTGCTTGTTCCACTATACTTAAGTTTTGATTAGTTCGTACTGAAAGCTCAAAATCTCTGTGGTTCGACCCCTAAGTGCTACAGCGTACATCTGTGCACTTGCAGATATTTAGGGTTATAAGTTTAAAACGTGAAGCTAGAAGTAACCCTTGATTCTCTTAGCATCAAGTTTTTGGCGTCGTTGCCGGGGATTTTGATTCCTTTCGTCGCGAATCTCTGCTTAATTCTGTAGAACTCTTTCTAATTTTTATTTTTCTTTAACTTTTCAGGTACTTATTCGATGAACGGTCAGGAACATATGTCTGATCCTATCGCTGAAGAGCACCCTTTTCTAGATGGTGATCCATCTGATGACGAGCTTAATGACCCAATTGATGATGGCAATGAAGCGATTGGAGAACCAAAATATGCCAAGAAGGGAGAACAGCTGATTGGACAATGCGACGCAGCCCACAAACTCTTCGCAGATAGGCGAGCAATTCGACCACCTTTGCCTAAGGATGGCGACTCTCAAGCTAAGGTACAATACATTAGCTATGTGAAAAAGTATAATGGTTTTCCTACAGAACACCCAATAGATCATATTGAAAAATTTGAAGAGCTGTGTAGAACCATAATGAGAAATACCGATTACCATATGTGTGTCATTTTTCCATTCTCTCTAACCGGTAGAGCTAGTAAATGGCTTAAAACTTTGCCACCTGCGTCTATAAAGACGTGGAAAGAGTGTAGAGAGGCTTTCCTAAGTCACTTTTACACCAGAGACCGTTTCAATCTCTTAAGAGACAAGATCCAAAATTTTCAGCAGAAGGAAACAGATGACCTCTATGACGCCTGGGAAAGATTCAGAGACAATCAAAGAGATTGTCCACACCATGGTTTCTCCGAGGAGCGCTTGATGACCATCTTCTACGATGGAGTTAATGAAGAACTAAAGTTTTCTTTTGATACCTCTAGCAATGGAGACTTTTCCACTAGATCTGTAGATGAGGCTCACACCTATATCACTAATCCAGCTGGAAGTATCAGAAATAGAAGACTTCTAACCCAATCTAGATGTCCTAAGATCAAGGAAAAAGGATCATCTGTTAATTAACAATGCCTAAATCAGATCAGGGAAGACATCCAGAAGATCCTTAGTAAGATCGGTTCGATTCATAACCCTGATGATGGAAGCAAACATAACGAGCCCTACATTGAGAAGATGAACAACTTTTAGGTGGAGAGGAACTTACTAACCCAGGAGATGATGCAAACCGCTGATGTTTACCAGATTGAAGAGGCTGAGCAGAATCAACCCCACCAGGGGTGGGAGCCTCTCAACTGCGGCGAAGCTTGTATCCACCACGGGTGGGAAGCTTTTGAACGCGGCCAAGAAGAACTCCACCGTGGCCGCGACTCCTTCACCGGCGGCCAGCCTGATTTTCAACCTCCTTTAAAACCTTCTTTCGAGCAAACCCAATCCGATAAATCAAATCCAGCATTCCCTCCTTAATATCCTTTTTCCAAGGTTGAAGAACTTAAAAAAGAAGTTAATAGACTCAAAAATCAGATGGAGAGTTATCAAAAAGACATGATGATGCTACTAACAAGCTCTCCACCCTTTTCTTTTTCAGGTTAGTGATGAATCAAAGGAGACGGATTCCTCCGTTAATGATCTTGATGAACCTTTTTCTGAAAGAATGAATGAATTGGAGACCTCTGATCACTTAAAAGCAATTACCCTCAGGAGTGGTCTAGCTTACAAGAAACCAGAGTACCCAAAAGATTTCAAGGAAGGAGAAAAAGGAGGAGTTTCGGCTAATGAAGAGGGAGATACAATAGTCAGGAAAGAGGGAGAAAAAGAAAAGGAAGAAACTCCTCAAGAAATTCCTGAAGAAGAGCCTATACCGCCTCCTCCTACTCGCCTTTACAAGCCCAAACCACCATACCCACGAGCCATGAAAAGACCAAAGAAGGAGAAAGAAAGGGCTAAGCTAAAAGAGCTAATTGAGCAGTTAAATGTGAGATTACCTTTTATTGAAGCTTGTGCAAAGATACCTGCTCTTAGGAAATACATGAAGGACATTCTAACAAATTCTTTAGCATTAGAAGAAGGTGTTATGATGATAACTCATGAATGTATTTCCATCTTACAAAATCATGTCCCCCAGAAGAAAGAAGATCCAGGAAGTTTTGTACTCTCTTGCACAATCAGGAGTATGACTTTCGAACGTTTGCTCTGTATGATTTGGGATCAAGCTTTGACATGATGCCGCTCTCAGTTGCAAAACATTTAGGATATCATACTCTCCAGCCCACAAAAATCTCGCTGATTCTTGCCGATCGATCATTCAGACAACCGGAAAGAGTCCTGGTTGATGTATCAGTCATGATAGGAGAAAACTGTATTCCGACTGATACCGTAGTGCTTGAATTAGAAAGGGAACCAAAGGATCCTCTAATACTCGGTAGACCTTTCTTATCAACTGCAGGGGCAATAATAAATGTTCCGGAAGGAAAGATAGACCCACTTTAGATGGCAGACTTTGCTGGATTGATTAGCTTGATGAGATCACAGAGGAAGTTTATGAAGAAATCCTTTTTGACGACCCTTTAAAAATCATCATCACCACCACAAATGATGACCGCAACCTTCTCGAAGAAGTTTCAAAAGGGTGTGCGCAAATGCTTGATAAAGCTGAAGATTATGCGAAACTTGTGAACTATCTCGACCTGAATGAGGAAACTCACATCCCTACCCCTCCAAAAGATACCTTGGCAGCTATATATGACCCATGGAGCGAACTCAAAGCCCCAAAAGTCAAGCTTAAACCTCTTCCTGATGGACTCAAG